CAGTGGCCATGGGACCTCGCGAGGTGACCCAGCCCCCGTGGGCTGCGCCCTACCTGGCACACGGCGTGCGTGGGCTCCGGAGCTCCATCGGCAGAGGCCTTGGGCGTTGCCTTCACAACGGTGCTCAGATCCACGCCTGCAGGGAGACGCAGCCTGGAGGACGGGCGCCGGCCCGCTCGGTCCACCCTGTACCTTCTGCTGGGTTCCCCACTCTGAGACCCCGACGGTCTCGACCTGCACCCCTCCTGCCCGGTCCGGCCAGTGGGAGAGTGGGACAGCAGTGAGTGCCACCCGTGGCCTCCCAGAGCTCCCGGCCCTCCAGGCCCATGGCACCCCTTCTGACCTCAGAGGCTGCACCCCAACTCCTCCTGGCCAGGGAAGTGGCTGGGGGATGGAGGGAGCTTGGCACGTTGGTCACCGGCATCTGCCTGGGGCCTGCTGTGACCGGGGCGCCTCCGAGACCCCACCCGAGGCTGCCAACCCGGTGCTCCCCACGGCCAGTCCAGCTGGGGACCACCCCCTGGCCCCTCTGCGCCCGAGATGGGGTACGGGGGCCACAGACAGGCAGAAGCCCTGTGTCCCCGGCCCGCATTGGTGCCAGGTGTGATGGGCGGCGGGACCTGGGCGAGAGTGGCCCCCGCTGACCTTGAGACTCAAACTGCTCCACGGCCTCCTGCACGGCCTCCTCCGGCCCCATGTCGAACACCTCCATGTTCTCACGCACGGCCGCATCAAAGGTGTCCTGCGTGATGTGCCGCGAGGCCATCTGTGCCGCAGCTGCGAAGGGACAGGCGAATCAGCAGGGGATGCGGCACAGGGGCCCCGACCGCCTAGGAAACAGCACCGACAGCAGACCAGAGGGGACGGCCCATGTCCTGGGGGCTTCAAGTGCTAAAAGGGCGTGTGGAGAGCTAGGAGCTGGGAGCCTCAGACGTTTCAGGGAAGCGCTCACCACTGTAAGTGTTCAGTCTAACCCAAGAAGTTCTACTGATAATACACTGCATGTCCTTGTAATAAGAAACAATTTCAATGGTGCATTCTGGGAGGCTGAGGCAGGAGGATCACAAGTTAGAGTCAAGCCCGGACAATTTAGTGAGACTCAGTCTCAAAACAAAAACATAAAAAAGACAGCATGAAGGCCCTGGGCTGATCTCTAGTGCTGCAAAACTGATGTGAGCAGGGCAGACACCACCCTTGCCTCTGGCCGGTCCACTTCCTCCCTGAGTCTGAACCCACCGTGATGCCCACGTGGCCGTGTGCCCGTGCGATGACTTGCATGGTGACCACAGGGCCTGCACGCCAAACTCACCTTGTGAGCCCTTCAGGAAACTTATAAAATGTTCTCTAAAACATTACTTTTACCACCATAGGATTAGCGCGTTATCTGTACAGCACTGTGAGATTAGCACGTTGTTTGTACCAAACTCCTCAGGCATAAAAGAGGAAGCCCGGCTGCTCTGACTGGGCCTCCGGCTCCAGGCTGTGGACTCTGCCCCGGGCTCTCCGCAGAGGACGCCCCAGCCCTGTAGCAGCCGGTGAGCTCACCGCCGGCCAGAACACCACCTGGCTCCCGGCTGGGTCGGTCTCGGGATCGCTGTGAGTCCCAGGGCTGCCCACTGGGCCCCCCCAAGTTCTCACGGTGCACACTCGGGACGCCACCTCCAGTTCCCAGCTTATGCTGTGGCGAGCTCCCCTCGGTCTCGCTGTGAACACAAATGCTCAATAAACCACTGCATTCCGGAGACTGCTCACTCCCCTTGGCTCCCTGGAGCCCTAAGGTGGCCTAACTCAGAGGGCCTTTTGGCCTCAAGACTAGCTCCCATGTCTGCTTGAGACAAAAATACTCTTTGGTTTTCGTTTTGTTTTGTGGTAGTGGGAATCAAACTCAGGGCCTGTGCTTGCCAGGCAGGTGCTGCACTGCTGAGCTACACCCCTGGCCCTGTTTTGTTTTTTTTGAGAGACAGAGTCTTGCTATACAGTTCAGGAAACTGGCCTTCAGCTCACTATGTAACCCAGGCTGGCCTCAAACTCATGCGGATCCTCCTGCCTCAGCCTCCCAAGTGCTCGGATTACAGGGGTGCACTGCCACACCTGGCTGCAAAACAGTTATGTCGGAAAATTGCTCAGTCAAACTATCATCAGTGGAGGGCTACTGTCTGATTGAGATGTACTCCAAGGGGCGTATAAGCTGAAAAGAAAAGCTTCCTGGCATTCTGGAGGGAAATATTAATCAAGTTACTCCGCAACTGTGTGTGCCCCACAGCCCGCTGTGTTCAGAGGTGAGGCTTCTGGGAGGTGACTGGATAATGGCTGCTGTACTCAAGAATCCCCACCAATCCCCAGTTGGGTGTGTGGTCAGGAGGCGGGGCTTAGTCAGCAGAGGAGGGGGCGTGGCCTGGGAGCCACTTTCCTTCTTGTAGCCTCCAACCTAGGACCGAAACCTTGAGGCCAAATTAACCTCTCCTGTAGGCTGCCGGTGTTGGGTATTTTGTCCCGGCAACAGAGAAGTGATTAAGACATATGCACAGATCAAAACATACATAACGTAAGATAACTATAAAGTGAACCTCAGGTCGGAGGGCAAATCTCAGAACTCCTAAATCTTTTTTCTTTTTCTTTTTGGTACCAAGGATCGAACTCTGGTCCTTACGCTTGTGAAGCAGGTGGAACCACTGAGCTAAATCCCTGGCCCCGGAACTCCTAAGTCTTAATTAGAAACTTAAGCATGAACTCATGATGTACTTTTTGTAAGCACAGACCCTATGTTCTAGTGATGAAACAGGAATGCCAGAGGACATGACGTCACAGTAGGGCCAAGCACCCCACTACCCGCTCTGGTCCCTAAACATCATCTCCTCCCCAGAGGGCCCAGGCCTCCTAGAAGAAAGGCCCATTCCAATATGTTTTAGTCAGGCATGGTTGCACACACCTGTCATCTCAGCACATGGAAGGCTGAGGCAGGAGGATCCCTGTGAGTTCTAGGCTAGCCTGGGCTACATGGTGAGTTCAGAAAAACCCTGCTTCAAAAAAGCAAACCATGGGGCTGGGGATTTAGCTCAGTGGTGCTGCCGCCTGCCCTGCAAGCACAAGGGTCCTCAGTTCGATCCAGTACCAAAAAACAAACAAACCAAACCAAACAAACAAAAGATGAAAGCTGGGACAAGTAGGCATTTAAAAAGAAATTCAGCTGGCTGTGCACACCTCTAGTTCCAACTACACAGGAAGCTGAGGCAGGAGGCTCACCGGAGTCCAGGAGTTCCAGACCAGCCTGGACAGCATAACAAGACCTCCACCCACGCAACAAAATACAAAATTTTGAAAAGTCCAGTGGATATCAAAATCAAAACGCATGTGCTCACACTGCTAAGACAAACCCAGCACATTCTCCTGAAAACTGGACCACCAAGAATCCAGCACTAGGGGCGAGGCTGTAAGCACATAGTATGAGCAAGGCCCTGGGTTGCATCCGCAGCACCACAAAGCACAGTTTTTAATCCAACATTTATCTGGCCTGCCCTGTACGAGGGGCACCAGGCCATAAAGGAAGGAGAAGAAAAGGGCTATTCCCGATTCCAGCTGAAGGCCCGGCTGGACAAAAGGAATGAACCTGGGCTGGAAAAGCCACCCGGGGCAACACCGGGAGACCCTGACAAAGACAGGTGACAGGAGTCATGGCCACGGGCTTGCTCTCACCTCATCCAAAGAGAAACCAGAGCCCGGCGTGGTGGCTCAGGCTGGCAGGTGCAACCACTCAGGAGGCAGAGGCAGAAGGATCCAAAGTGTGAGCTCAGCCTGGATGAGGACTGCGTAGGTAGCTCAGTACAAATGTCCTGGGTTCAATCCCCAGGCGATAAAACAAAGAAAGAAAGAAAAAAAAAAATCTGCTTTTTTTTTTTTTTTTTTTGGTACTGGGATTGAACTCCGGACCTTGGGCTTGTGAGGCAGGCAGCGGAACCACTGAGCTAAAACCCCAGCAACATCTGCATTCTGAACCAAGAACAAAGTGCACCTTGGCTCAAAATCAAAACTATAAAAGGGCTGGGGGTACAGCTCAGTGCAAAGACCCCCTCAATATGAAAAACAAACCAGGGCTGGGGATTTAGCTCAGTGATTTTGTTGCTTGCCTTGTAAGCACAAGGTCCCGAGTTCGATCCCAGGTACCAAAAAGGAAAGAAAGAAAGAAAAACAAACCAAAACACAAAGCCCCACAAAGCAGAGTAGTGACCTTCTCCATGGTGCAAGAGTGTCATTAACACATCTGCTGCCACACTTTATGACAAAGGAGACCAAACTAAAGGCTGAGCCTAACAGGTCAACAACCTTCTAACTATATCTGCCTTATTTGTTACAGTCATACCAACTTTCCATTCTAGAACTGATTATCAAGCTTCCATTTAAAATATATCTCATGGGCTGGGGTTTAGCTCAGTGGTTTCGCAGCCTGCCTTGCAAGCGCAAGGACCTGAGTTCGATCCCTGGTACCAAAAAAAAAAAAATAT